CAGATGTCCCCAACCTCAGGCTGGGCATGTAGGGAGCCTACTGTCTCCCTCACACCACCCCTCACCACCTCACAGAAAAGGTTCAGTGGTCCCATTCTCTACCAAAATAAAAGACACCCCCCCTCCCTCCACCCCCCAAAAAAAGGTGAAGACATCTTAGATCCTGACTCTCTGGATGAAAGGGCCAACATTCAAAGAGTGGTTTGTCCACCAGCCTTTCCTAAACAGCAGGCATCGTGTCCACTCCATGGCTCAGCACGGCAATCTCAGTATACTTGGTCCTCACCCACCAAAGCGCAGGGAGCTGAAACAGTTTACCCAGAGCCTGTCGCCAGGGTGAAGAGTGAGGCCAAATTTGAATCCTGTTCTTTTTACAGGGTTTCCCCCTGCCCCACTGTGACGGCCCCAACAGAGATTCACTAGGTGCTTTGTTGAAGTAAAGGGAAAATGTCTCACATAAAGTTGAAACTAATTTAGCCTGTTCTTAGAATTGTACCGTATCTCAGGAGAAGTAAGGTCAGCTGTGGTAGGAGTCACAGGCCTCTCGAGAGAAGTTATCACTCAGACACACAACACTCAGGACACACATCCGTTGGCTCCCACACAGGTGAAGTGTTCCTCATGGGGGGGCAGCAGAAACCAAGCAGCTGATCTGCATCCTAGGCTATTTCATAGCCTCCCGACAGTAGACACTAGATGCCTCCTCCCACCTCTCCTCGCTGCCATCTCAGTTCAGCCCAGAGACCAGCACCCTTAGACTTGGACCTCCCAACTCAAGAAGGGAATGGACAGGCAAAGCCATGGCCTTCAGAACTCTAGCCACCAGAGCAAGAAAAAGGAAGAGGTGGGGCAGAGAGCAGTAGTGCCAACGGAAACTTTTACCTCCCATGCCAAAGGCTCTAAAAACGGCAAAATGATGTGTTTCACCTCCTGATCTCACTACTGTGGAAACTGCTTTCTGTTCTGCTGAGAAAGTGGTATGTTATACAGTTCCCAAGCCCCCAAAACTGGTCAGCAGGGTAAACCATAAAGAAAAAGTGAAACAGAGCTATAAATCTAGCCTGAGATTTTTGTTTAAGTCCTGCTAAGACTGCTTGCTGCTGAGTAGCCCCCAAAAAGATGTAATATACTGTTTTTATAACACTGTATGAATGTAAGGGTGTGTGGCCCTTCACAAGACATGATTGGATTCAGGTTCCTCTGTGCTTCTAGTCTTCATATTTTTTTGTTTTTTATTGAATTTATTGGAGTGACATTGATTAATAAAATTATATAGGTTCTAGGTGTACAAGTCTATCGTACATCATCTGTAAATTGTATTGTTTTCACCAGCCCAAGTCAAGTCTCCTTCCATCACCATTTATCCCCCCTTTTATCTTCTTCTACCTCTCCACACCCCCCTTTCCCTCTCAGAATCACTATACTGTTGTCTGTCTATGAGGTTTTGGGGGGTTTTTTGCTTAATCCCTTCACCTTTTTCACCCAGCCCCTCAATCTCCATCCCCTCTGACAGCTGTCTGTTGGTTTTCTCTGTCTATGAGTCTGTTTCTATTTTGTTTGTTAGTTTATTTTGTTAATTTCATTCCACATGTAAGTGAAATCATATGGTATTTGTATTTCTCTAACTGGCTTATTTTACTTAGCATAATACTCCCCATGCTGTTGCAAAGGGTAAGATTTCCTTTTTTTACAGCTAAGTAGTAGTCCATTGTGTGTACCACACTTTTTTATCCACTTATCTGCTGATGAGCACTTGGGCTGCTTTCAAACCTTGGCTATTGTAAATAACACTGCAATGAACGTGAGGGGAGGTATATATATACTTTTGAATTAGTGTTTTGTGTTTCTTCGGATATAGTCCCAGAAATGATATTGCTGAGTCATAAGGCAGTTCCATTTTTAATTTTTTGAGGGAACTCTATACTGCTTTCCATAGTGGCTGCATCTGTCTGCATTCCCACAAACAGTGCACGAGGGTTCCCTTTTCTCCACGTCCTCACCACTTGTCATTTGTTGATTTATTGATGGTAGCCATTCTGACTGTCATCTGAGGTGATAACTCATTGTGTTTTAATTTGCATTTCTCCGATGATTTCTTCATAAGGCATTACCAATGAATTGTTTTCCAAATGTGTACTAGGATTTATTCTGAGCCTCATAATTGCACCTTCCTTCTTTATCTAAATGATAAATGAACAGATTACTAGTTTGTATGTGTGGCAGTGGTAGTGAGGTTTGTTTGTTTTGTTCTTTCTTTTTTTTTTTCCAGTTTTGCCATGAAGTTTTTGGTGATGACAGCCACCTCCAGTGGTATTTCTTTCCTCTGTATTAGTAGTGCTTGTTATTAGTTCTGAGTCTAATAAGATACCTCTCGGTCCTTAAGCACATGCAGCAGCCTCAGTGCTTTCATTTAGTTTTTGCTAATCTTCTCTGTATCGTTCCAGTTTTTTTAGTATATGTGATGCCAAAGCAAGCTCATGTTTAGTTTTTAATGTACCTTTGTACTGTCAACTCAGCTAAGCTCTTTCCGGGCCGTGGGAAGTTAGTCACTTCTCTGCCTGCCACAGCCCTCTTCACCTGGCCCCAGGGTAGCGCACTGCACACAGAGGACAGATGAGTGACACTAAGCATATTTATTTTCACACTGCAAGCTGAACTTCCCAAGAGCGCTGGGAAGCAGTACAGTGGACCACACAAATACCCTCTTTAGGACGAGTTACCGTTTGTCGTTTCTCTGGCACCACCATGGTCCCCCAGCGGTGGTTCTTTGTAACTACTGGTTCCTGTGTTAGAGGGAGATGGTGTCTCGTGTCCTTAAAGAATGTATAAACCATGTGCTTTGTTCTCTGCGCCTCCTTGCTTTCACCCCTCCCACCCCTTCCACCCCAGCATTCATTATTAACCTACCACCTAGGTCCCCATCTCACAACTAACTATGAGGTCCTTGCTGAAGAGAATTTCATACAACTTAACTCGGCATTATGCTTTACTGTGCATTTTGTCCATTATTTAGTCATTCATTGCATATTTCTTAAGTACTTACATATTCCCCGTGGCACATGAAGCCGAGTCTACAGATGAGGGCAAGATAGTTAGTCTTGGCCCTTGTTGAGCTTACAGCCTGCTGTGATATCCCAACCAGCCAACACATAATTGAGGTGTATGTACTAAGTTCTCTCCTAGAGAGGTACAGACATGATAGCACAGAAAGAAGAGCATGAAGCCCCAGACTCGGGGTTAGAGAAGGCTGCCAGGAAGGGTCTGGAATGTGACGGGGGAGTGGTGAGAGAGACCATGAGAGTGGTAAACAGGAGGCTGCAGGCCATGGTATGAAATTCAAATTATATCCGAAATGGGGACTCGTGTAGTATCAAAGAATATCTGCAGCCCAGCTGGTGTGGCTCAGTGGTTGAGTGTCAACCCATGAACCAAGAGTTCCCCAGTTCTTTGTAACTACTGGTTCCTGTGTTAGAATTGGGGCAAGATTATTACAGTTGTTCCTTTTTCTCCCCATAGCTCCCCTCCACCCGGTTCCCCCCCCCTCCCCATGCCCTTACCCCATCCCACTGTTCTCGTCCATAGGTATAAGATTTTTGTCCAATCTCTTCCCACACCCTCCACACCCTCCACACCCTCTTCCCCCGAGAATTTTCAGTCCACTCCCTTTCTATGCCCCTGATTCTATTGTATTCACCAGTTTATTCTGTTCATCAGATTCTTTATTCACTTGATTTTTAGATTCACTTCTTGATAGATATGTATTTGTTGTCACTTTGTTGTTCATAATTTTTATCTTTATCTTTTTCTTCTTCTTCCTCTTCTTAAAGAATACCCTTCAGCATTTCATATAATACTGGTTTGATGGTGATGAACTCCTTTAGCTTTTTCTTATATGTGAAGCTCTTTACCTGACCTTCAATTCTAAATGATAGCTTTGCTGGGTAGAGTAATCTTGGTTGTAGGTTCTTGCTATTCATCACTTTGAATATTTCTTGCCACTCCCTTCTGGCCTGCATAGTTTCTGTTGAGAAATCAGCTGACAGTCTTTACTTTTTTATTTTATTTATTTCTCATAATATCCTTATGAGGTGAGTGTAGTTATTATCACCATCTTACAGATGAGAAAACCAAGGCTCAGAGAAGTTTTTAAAGCACTGAGGCCTAAGGACACACAGTAAGTGGCAGAGCTGGGATTTGAACCCAGGTCTTCTGGCTCTAGAGACTGTTCTCAGTCATTCTGTCTCCTCTACCACTGTGTCCCTCTGCCATTACTCTTTAACATTGCTTTGACCTTTGAAGTGGGTATTGACCCATTCTCAGTCCCCTGTCTTAACAGTTTGAGAAAAATGCCTGGTTCTCCTCTCCATTGTTGAAGTCATCCTCATCCTCTAAAATTCAGCTCAGCACCCATCTTTTGCAGTTTTGCCCCTGTGCTTTGGCTGCAATTGGTCGATGCCGACTCTGAGCCTTTCTAGCTCTTTACCTGATGCCACACAGCTTCCTTCTTCATTATATACTATCTTACCATAGACTGTTCTATTTCTGCGTGTATTGCCTTCTCCCCATGAGATCAGGAGCCCCATGTGAGCAAGACTAGACCGTGCACCTTACTCCTACCCTCTTGTGGGAGCTGCGAGCCCCCAGAAAGCCACTAGAGAGCTCTTCTGTCCCGGCTTCATGGTGCAGACACTTCTCGGTGTAGGCACTGCCTGATCCTCCCACAGGTGCCAAAGCCTTTAGTGATGGAGTTCTAGTAACTTCTGCGTGATAACGTGTTACACATGCTTCCTGCTCTGTTGGAAAACCAGGCGTTTATTTTCACACAAAGATTTCTTTCATTTGAAAATCTTTTTTACCAACTAATAGATATTTCATAAAACGGCTGTTCAAAATGCAAGCTATTTCCTTTTTCCTCTTTTAAATATGTGGTTATTGCTTTTGAAGAAGACAAAGTGAAGGAAACATTTCCTGTTTGTAGAGGCTCACATTTAACCCTAAAGAGCAGGTTAGTGTCAAAACATCCTAGAGCTCCTGTAACTTTCTGCCTTTTCAGCACTTTTTTTACTATCACAGGAGTACAGAAATTGGGGTTTTGTTTTGCCTATTCTTTCACTCTCACTGCCTTTGAAGAAATGAAATGTTATAGATTCAAAGGTTCCTTCCCCTTCTCACTGTCCTGTAGCAGGTGTGTCATGTCTAATGCCCATGCACTTTTGCATCTTACCACATGCATGTGTGTCAGGGTTTCTCAGCCTAGACACTGTGGACATTTTGGCTCAGGCCATTCTTTGTTTTGAGGTCTATCCTGTGCTTTATAGGATGCTGAGCAGCATCCTTGGCTCTACTCACAGATACCCGCAGCATCACCATCCTGTCCCCCACCTACACCCTCCCCCACCACCACACACACACACACACACACACACACACACACACACAAGAAAACCAAAAATGTCAAATATCCCCTGGGGAAGGGCAAATCATTACTAATGTATATCCATTAAATAGTTTAAAAAGTACACTATTCTAAGTATTTTTAAATTTATATAAATGTTACTGTATATACATATTCTTGGACAACTTTCTTTGTTCAACATTGTATTTTTGAGTTTTATCCATGTGCATCTAGATTCTTGCTGTTCATATAACAGAACCACTTGTTTATTTCCCTACTTATAGACATGCCCCATTAGGCACTCATAGCTACCTGGAAATGAAATTGCTGGGTCATAATTTTACTAGATCTTGACATGTGGCTGTCCAAAATTTTGTGCCAGTGTATAGTCTCATCAACAATATGTAGAGTTCCGATTTTCTTCATCCCCATAACTTGGTATTGTTAGACTTTTTATTTTTGCCAGTCCTGTAGGTATGAAATAACTTATTGCTGTTTTAATGTACATTCCTACTACTAGTGAGGTTCAACATCTTTTCTTATGTTTATTGACTCAGGGTTTCCTCTTCTAATGTATAGGAAAGTGTCTATGCATATACATAATCCATTTTTCTCTTGAATCATTTATTTTTTTCTCATTATTTTTAAGTGCTCTTTATATGTTGTAGATACTATTCTTTGTCAGTTATATGTTGCAAACATTTTTTCTTAATCTTTACTTTGTCTTCCAACTTTATTATTCAGTCACATAAAAGTTCTTACTTGTAATAGTTGTTATGATTTATTTGTTATTTTTGTTATGGAAATTCTTTCCTATCCTAGTGACATAAAGAATATTCTCTTATGTCTTCTACAATTTTTAACAATTTAGCTTTCCATACTTAAGTCTTTAATCTATGGAGTTTATTTTTAAACTAGAGGCCCGGTGCACAAAAATTTGTGCACTCAGGGGGAGGGGGGTCCCCCAGCCCGGCCTGTGCCCTCTTGCAGTCTGGGACCCCTCGGGAGATAACGACCTGCTGGCTTAGGCCTGCTCCAGGGTGGCAGAGGGCAGGCCCAATCCCTAAGTGCAGCCCCTGGTCAGGCTCAGAGCAGGGCTGATTGGGGAGTTGGGGCGCTGCCCCCTGTCATGCACAGAGCAGGGCGGATCGGGAGGTTGCGATGCCACCCTCAGTCAGCCAGCCTGGATGAGGGGATGATGGCTGTTTGCAGCTGGTCACACCCCCTTCAGGGTGGGGGTCCCCACTGGGGTGCCTGGCCAGCCTGGATGAGGGGATGATGGCTGTTTGCAGCTGGTCACACCCCCTTCAGGGTGGGGGTCCCCACTGGGGTGCCTGGCCAGCCTGGATGAGGGGATGATGGCTGTTTGCAGCTGGTCACACACCCTTCAGGGTGGGGGTCCCCACTGGGGTGCCTGGCCAGCCTGGATGAGGGGATGATGGCTGTTTGCATCTGGTCACACCCCCTTCAGGGTGGGGGTCCCCACTGGGGTGCCTGGCCAGCCTGGATGAGGGGATGATGGCTGTTTGCATCTGGTCACACCCCCTTCAGGGTGGGGGTCCCCACTGGGGTGCCTGGCCAGCCTGGATGAGGGGATGATGGCTGTTTGCATCTGGTCACACCCCCTTCAGGGTGGGGGTCCCCACTGGGGTGCCTGGCCAGCCTGGATGAGGGGATGATGGCTGTTTGCATCTGGTCACACCCCCTTCAGGGTGGGGGTCCCCACTGGGGTGCCTGGCCAGCCTGGATGAGGGGATGATGGCTGTTTGCAGCTGGTCACACCCCCTTCAGGGTGGGGGTCCCCACTGGGGTGCCTGGCCAGCCTGGATGAGGGGATGATGGCTGTTTGCAGCTGGTCACACACCCTTCAGGGTGGGGGTCCCCACTGGGGTGCCTGGCCAGTCTGGGTGAGGGGCTGAGGGCTGCTTTCAGGCTGGCGGTTGTTGACTGAAGCTCCCAACCGCTCCTTTTTTTTCTCTTTTTTTTATTTTATTCTGGGCCCGCTTTAGCTTTGGCTCTAGCTGTGAGGCTTCCGCTGCTGAAAGCTGGTATCTGGTTTGTTTGCCGTTCTATAATCGAAACAATGTATAACTTCAGCTCTGAGATCCCGGCAGGCTGAAAGCTGGTTTCTAGGGTTTTGTTTAGCTTCTTATTTGCAACATAGTACATAGTTGCTTAGAGTTGCAACTCAGAGGCCTGCAAGTGAGGCGGGGAACGTTGGAGTCTGCAGTCACTGGAGCAAGCAAGCCTCATGTTCGCTTCCAGCTGCCTGGCTGCCGGCCGCCATCTTGGCTGACAGTTAATTTGCATAAGGATATGCTGATTAGCCAATGGGAAGGGTAGCGGTCGTATGCCAATTACCATGTTTCTCTTTTATTAGTGTAGATAAACTTATTTTTGTACGTGGCATAAAGTAAAGGTCTAATTTTATCTTTTCCCATATCTATATCCAGTTGTCCTAGTACTATTCATTAGGTGGTCTTTCCTTGTCCTGATGACTTGTGATGCCTCCTCCATCGTGTACCAAGTGTTATTACTTCTGATTCCTTGACTCTTTCCTGTTTCTTTGCACTGTTTGTCTACCATGTGCTAATACCATTCTGCCTTAATTACTACAGTTTAACAGTGTGTCCCAATAAGTGGTAGAAAAAAATCCTCCCTTATTATACTTCTTCAAAATATTCATGTCTAGTTTTGACCCTTAACTTCAAGTCAACTAGTCTACCAGAACACACACGTTTCAATTTTGAATGTATAGCACTTGGGACTAGGTTAGTTCCGTATGACAGAAAACACAAAATAACAAGCCTTAAACATGGAGAAGTGTGCTTCTCGTACAGACATTGTACAGACATTGACAGCCCCGGGCTGGCAGGTGGCAGCATGAGGTTGCTGGGCCCCAGGCTCCTTTTCTCTGGCTGCTGCCTTGTCCTCAGCCTGAAGCTCCCACCTCCGCCCAGGCTGGCTGCCTGAGCTCCAGGAAGGAGGAAGGGATGAGGAAGGGGGCACCCTTGCTTTAAGGCCTCTCCTGGGTTTCACATGCCCTACCAGACCATTGGCAGAACTGAGTCCATGTAGGGAAGCTGAGAAATGCAGTAGTAATGTGTCACCCCCAAAAATTCCACTTTTAAGGAAAAGGGAAGCTAGGTATTAGGAGTCAACCAGCAGCCTCTGCTCTAGGCTGGAATTGGCAGTGTGTGGATAGAATTCCGTATCAGGTCTTCCCACTCATTTAGGTCTTCTGATAGCCTTCAACAAGAGTTTACTGTTTTCTCCATAGAGATCTTGTTTGGATTTAATTGCCAAGTACCTAATAATTTTTATTTCTGTTTGTAAATAGTAATTTTTTTGTACTTACATTTTCTAAATGATCACAGTAGGTGAATGTTATCGATACTTTTTTGTGCCGAGCCAGCTCAGCCAAGGGTTCCACAAGCCTGAGTGAGGGCAGTGAATGGATTAAGAAATGACAGACAAAGAGAATAAGCTGGGTCTAGGTGGATCTTCCTGTGCCTGGCTGAGGCCACAGAGAAAGAGATCCAGACAGCAAGTTGACCCTTTATTTTATTTTATAGCCAGAGGTAAACAAGGTAGTGGTCACCATAGTTACAGTGTTCTTGTGAGTTTCACTTGTTTTGGCAGCACTTGCTGCACCTCCCTCAGCCCATTAGCTTCCCAGATAAGATCTAGGGAGCGTCATAAGGTCAAGCCTAATTATGCTAAGAGGACTGTGCCCTCTAAGCTAGGACTTGTTTGTGGCTTTGCCAACAGGTCAGTCTGAGGCTTAACCCTATAGCCGCACCCTAGTCTTTTTTATATTGTACTAGAGGCCTGGTGCACAAAAATTTGTGCACTCGGGGAGTCCCTCCGCCCGGCCTGTGCCCTCTCGCAGGCTGGGACCCCTCGGGGGATGTCCACCTGCTGGCTTAGGCCCGCTCCCCGGGGGAACGGGCCTAAGCTGGCAGTCAGATATCCCTCTGGCAGCCCAGGAGCCCTTGGGGGATGTCCACTTGCCAGCAGGGAGCAGGCCTAAGCTGCAGTCAGACATCCTCAGTGCTGCTGAGGAGGCGGGAGAGGCTCCCGCCACCACCGCTGTGCTCGCAGCCATCAGCCTGGCTTGTGGCTGAGCAGAGCTCCCCCTGTGGGAGCGCACTGACCACCAGGGGGCAGCTCCTGCATTGAGCGTCTGCCACCTGGTGGTCAGTGTGTGTCATAGTGACCAGTCATTCCCAGTTGTTCTGCTGTTAGGGGCAATTTGCGTAGTACCCTTTTATTATATAGGATTCTCTTACTATTTCTCAATTTGTAGGTGGACAGTTACCATGTGTGAATAATGAGTTTTGTTTTCTCCCTTTCCCTCCTTCTGCATTTTCTTTCATGTTGGTTGGTTTAGGCCTTATTATGCTATGTCATATGTTGAATGCAAAAGGTGGTAATAGGGATTCTTGTCTCTTCTTGTATGTGTGCTAAGTTTTATCAAATTGATTTTTCTTCTTTAATCTGCTAATGTGTGAATTACATTACTATATTTTCTAAGATTCCTGAGATAAATCGTAATGTAGTACATCATACCAGATAAGATTATTTTTTAACATTGTTAGAATTTACTAACATCTTATTTAGGGTTATTGCATTTATTCATAAATGAAAAACAGATTGTTGTATAATTTTTCTTTCTCATAATGGCCTTGTCTGGTTTTGGGATAAAAAACAAACATTATATTAGCCTCAAAAAATTAGGTGGACAGTTTTCCATCTTTTTCTCTTTTCTAGGACAGTTTGTGTAAGATATCAACTCATTAAAAGTTTCATGGTTTCACCTGTAGATTTTTGTTGGGTAGATTTTTAAATACTATTTTAATTACATTAATGGCTAGAAGTCTACTCAGGTTTTCTATTTCTCTTTGTAACTTTTTATTGAAGTATAACATACAGAAAAGTAAGCATTATGGAAAAGTAATCATATAAATGTGTCCTTTGTGTTTTATTTATTTTATTCAACATTATATTTAAGAGATTCATCCCTATTGTGTATTATTGTAGTTTGTTCATTTTAACTGCTGTACAGTATTATATTATGTGACTATAATTTATTCAATCTACTTAATGGACATTTGGGTGGTTTTAGTCTTTTATTATGCATCTAGTGCAGCATCCAGTCCATGTCTTTGGTGAACGTGTGTTTGCAGGTCTGTTGTCCAGAAGTGGAATTGCTGAGGCAGACACACGTGTTCAGTTTTAGCAGATGCTCTGGAACAGTTTTCAAAAATGGTTGCCAATTTCTGTTTCTTCTTGAGTAAGTTTTCATAAGTCATATTAGTTTAGAAAACTCTGTTTTATCAAAGTTATTGGTATGAATAACGTATTCTTACGACTTTTTTAAAATTTACATTACAACCTTTGTATTATTCCTAATATTATCTGTGCTGCTTCGTCTTTTCACCAGGCTTTCCAGATTTATCCATTTCATTTTACTTTTTAAACAAGTATTCGGTTTTATTGATTCTCTCTATTGTCTTTGTTTTCCACTTTATTAATATTTGCTCTCAACATTCTACTTTATTCTTTCTAATTTCTTTGGATTTTTACTTTTTCTAACTTCTTAAATTGAATGTACTTTAATTTGCAGTCTTCATTTTCTCTATTTAAGCTCAATATTTTAAAATTATATCAACTATTTAATTACATCCCACAAGCTTTAATATTTAATAATCTCAATTTTATTAACTTTTAGATATTTTTTCATTTCCATTATGATTTTTTCCAATTTTTATTTCCATTTGTGTGAATTTTTATTTTGTATGTTATAATTTTGATAGTGACTAATTTAATTGCATTATGGTCAGACAATATGGCCTGATATTTTATTTATTTTTTTATTGATTTCAGAGAGGAAGGGAGAGGGAGAGAGTGATAAAAACCATCAATGATGAGGGAGAATCATTGATAGGCTGTCTCCTGCATTCCTCACACTGGAAATTGAGCCCACAACCCAGCATATGCCCTGACTGGGAATTGAACCTTGACCTCCTGGTTCAGAAGTCAACATTCAACCATTGAGCCACGCCACCTGGCTACACAGTCACTTTTTATAAATATTTTTCATATAATGGGAAAGACTGTATAGCCTCTAAATATTGAGTGCAGGCTATATACATCTATTCAGAAAAAACTTACTCTTTATTATCTATATTATTATTTTTGTCTGCTTGATCTATCAAGATATGCTAAAAATTAAAAATATGTCTGGATGTTTTTTATTCTCTTGTAGTTCTCTTAATTTTTGCTTTGTATATTTTGATGCTGTTGTATTTTAAATTTTAAAAAATCAATGTATTCTACTGATTTTATCCCTAATAATGCCCTTTTTGCCCATGAGGTCTTACTTATTTGGCATGAATATAGCAACATCAGCTTGCTTTGGTTAGTGCCTTCCTGATATTTCTTTATCCATCTCTTTACACCAACTTGTCTGTGTCTTTATATTTTAGTTTGTCTGTTGTTGGGAATGGGGATAGGATAGGAGAGATTTCAAAACTGAGAATCTCAGTCTTTGAGTTGGTGAGTTTGGCCATGTATATTTATTGTGATCACTAATATATTTGAATTTAATTCTGCAAGTATTTCTCCAGAAATTTTTTGTATAATATATTTATTTTTTAATTTCCTTATTTTCTTTCAAAAAAAATTTATAATGAATTTTTTAAGTCTTCCTCGGTATCTTAGTCACTTTTAAACTTCTGATTTCATAGTTGTTTTAAGATTGTTCGAAATTTAGGTTCTTGGGGATCTAACCCTCTTACTTATTGTACACACTACTCTTGCTTGTGATGGGTTTGGATTCTGAATCTTTCCCCACTGGAGTTACATCTGCAAAGCACATGTTGTCCTGGGGTAGGAGGGTCTCTCTCCAGAGTAATCTTATATTTACTTCTGCTTGGCTCCTTACTTATATTCGTCTCCATCCCAGGACCAGTTTTATAGGTTCTTAGAGCATGTGTAGTGCAACTGGAACCCCAGATTCCTCATTTCTAAAGTCTCAGGCAGGCCACGATTCCTGCTCTCTCGCTGCAGAAGGTCGGCCTTTGGTTAGTTTTTCTTGTCCTCTCATTCACTGAGGGTGCTGCCGTTTGAGGGTTGTGCCTGTAAGTAGGTAGTGAGCTCAAAATCACTAACTCTTTCAGACCAAATAGGTGGTACAACCCAAGAGGTTCTGGGTTGGCAGGAGGTGCTCACTCTTACACCCCTGTCCTTGGTAGCTTGCTTGCCTGCTGCCGCCGCTTCCCAGAGCTTGTTTCTAGCACCTCGGGCCTCCATTGCTTCATTTTGCAGCCAGCAATTCATGGGAAATATTTTTTATTTTACTTATTCTTGTTGTAAAATTTCAGGTTGTCTCAGTCTATAATTTTTCCTAAATCTAGAAATAGATATGTAATTCAATACATTAAAATATTGGCATTTAGCTAAAAATGTGGGTGTTTTTTTTTTTTAAAGCATCATATAATGCTTTCCTTCACATGGTGGTTTCCTTTTCATTGATAATGTAGAATAAGCAAGAAGTGACATTGCCACCCATCTTAAATTATCCATGGAGCCACTCAGGAGGACAGCTCTGATCCTGCGTCTGAGCCTCTTGTCCCTGTGTGAGGGCTACCTTCACATTCCCTAGCTTGTCCCTCAACCTGGGTTTTATCTCCACCTGCAGTCTCCCTCCACTGAGCATGCACATAATTTACTTGAATAAGAGGAAGAGGAGCATTTAAAGAGCTGCTGAAGGAAGCCCAGTTTCTGGTTGCCTGCAGTGAATTCACCTGCTCTCCATGCCTTCTTTTCCATCACACCCAGAAAGCCCCTGAGCTCAGAGTCAGTGGAGGTGGGACACAGTGGGGCTGAAGTTGGGAACGTCTCTGCCTTCTGGAGCCAAATTGCACAGCTAACTTTGGTGGGACTCATTACCTTCTTTTCTCTCTGTGCTCCTGCATTCTATTGATTTTACCCTATTGATTGAAGGATGGTGTGATACTTTAGGATGTAGATTGCTTGCAGACAGCAGATCAGTATGACATTTTATTTCTTAGTCTATTTATGTGACAGCATTGCAAGAGAACGCTCTCCCAAGCATTATGACAGTTCTGCCCCTCTGTGTCTGACCATTGTGTATTGATCTCTTTTTAGGGAGGAATGATCAATTGGAATCGACTTTTCCCTCCTTTACGTCAGCGACGAAATATAAACTATCAGGAAGGTCGGCGGGCTGAACAACAAGCATCCCCTCCTCTAGAAGTTTCTGAGGAACAGGTAATCAGTAACACCTGGGACTTACCGTAAACCCATGCTTCAAACTTCAAGCAGTTTAAGTGAACTACGCTTGAAAGAAATCCAGCATATAAATACAGAGATTTTTGATAGCAGTTAACATACCACCTGTAGCAGGGATAGATATTTTGGGCTTTTATTGGCTACTCTGGGTCGTATGAGTTTGAGGAAGGCGTGATTTAAAAACAAATACATTATGATCATTTATCTTAAGATCTGTAATACTTCATATATACAAGAAACTGTTGAAGTTGGTTCCCTGCAAGGGGAGGGAGGGAGAGAAGAAGGCAGATGGATGGGGAGGGAGTGGTGCTTTTCTGAGTACCCCTTTTGTGTGGTTTTGGAGTCAGGTGAATGTATTACCTATTCAAAGAGCAAATTGATTGGGACAACAGTAAAACTAAAAAGAAACAGAAATGAATGATACAACTGTATTTTAAATGAATAACATAATCATAGGGGAGGGGGGAATTAATTTCAGTAACTTGTGAACATAGTATGCCTTCTTTCTAAAGAAAAAGAGAACTGCCCTGTTTGGTGTGGCTCAGTGGTTGGAGCGTCAGCCCGTGGACCAAAGAGTCACAGGTTCAGTTCCCTGTCAAGGGCACATGCCTGAGTTATAGATTCAGTCCTCAGCCCTGGTCGGGGTGTGTGAGGGAGGCAATCAATCGATGTGTCTCTCTCACATTGATGTTTCTCTCTCTCTCTCT